TCAGATGATAGCTCTACTCTTCCTCTACAAGATCACATAATTTGATCAATTAACTATATATAAGTGTGCCATAAATACTATCGATTTACTAAGAGGGGTCGAAACTTTCTGATCACCCTTTAATATATACTTATTTAATGTTCAACAATTTCAAAAAAACTACTCAAAAAATAAAAAACAACATTTAATTGTCGTTTCCTTCAATATTCATATATAGATCATCCACTATTCATATATTAAATTAATTCAGATGATTGTTCTTGTTCAAAAGTATCATCTTCTATATGCATGTCAGCATGATCATTGCAAAACCAAGTTGTTGAATCAGTTGGAATTGCTAGTTTTATTCTACAATAATTACAAAGCCATCGGGAACATTCTTCATTATCATTGATCCAAGAATAATACTCAAGCTGATGGCAGCATTGAATTGCATCATATTGAAATGGATCATCATTTGAGATCGTTCGACGACAACCATTAGCACACTTCACAGCTGTTGCTTTCGGCTTTTTTGGCCGACTTGAACTAGGATCATGCTGTTTCAATGATTGTGCTCGTTTTCTTTTAATATTACTTGCACGAGTTTGTCGTGTTGGTTCATAGTCATCTGGTATATCTATTATTAATTTTGTTCGTTTCCATCGACGATTCTCATCTGGATTATTCCAAAGATCAAATGATTTTTCGACGATTTGTTGGCACCTTTTGCTAAAAAATAATCAAATAATAGAAGAAGAAATTTCTCACATTATCTTGTTCTTACCTTCGAATATCATTATGCAAAAGTAAACGAACAGTAAGTAAAACATTTAAAGTCTCGATCAAAAGACGCGCACGACTATTTGTTTGAATACGATTTGAAGCACTGAAACCACGCTCACATGCAGCTGAGTTTGTTGGAGAAACTAAATAAACCTTCGCTAACAACATAATGTTTTTGTAATCATAAATAAAGTTGATATTGATTGACTGTTGCAACAGTACAAATTCCTGCCAGAATAATTTTCTCAAACATTTTTTGCCATCAATAGCAATATATGCGATTAATGATGGCCGTAGAGATTCCCATTCGGTTGAAACCTTTTTTGGATCAAAATCATCGAGTAGATTATATATTTTTGAGAGAAAGACAAGTTGTTCACGTCCATAACCAGTTTGACGAACAAGTTCTTCATTTTTACATAAATATACTGGATCAAATAATCTACTTAAACTTTCTTGCACCTTTGATATGGGAAAACGTCGATCAAGTTCAATAAGAAAACGTTCTATGTAAGACCGACAGTTTTGTTCGGCAATTTGTCGATTTTTTGTATCAATGGAGAAGGCACCATAAGTTTTATTTAATGTAAGTTGAATGTAGTTGGATAAAGATGGACCCCATGCATAGGAACACGATGTTGTTGAATTCAAGTTATTGGTGGTATGTTGATCAAAGATTAAAGCTGATGGAGCCGATAACCACCCATTTAACACACTCTTTTTTTCCTGAATTTTATCCTTCAAAATTGTATAAGAAACATTATCGTCTTGCATCATCTTTGTTAATTCACCTAAAATAATAAGTTAACGATATCAGTGAGTTCTTTATGTAAGAATAGGTTACCTGATACACATTCTTGTAAAACATGATGAAAATGAAGATAAAATAAAAATGAATCATCGAGAATGGACTTATATAAATCGAGAGCTTTTTCACGATCGGAAAGACTAAAATCTTGATCTTCAGAAATTTGTTTCAATGTAGCAAATAAGGCTTGATGACCTAAACCGAATACAGATGTTAAACCACGTTACTTGGAGATTAAGTAAATATTTTTACCAGGTTCAATATTACTAATGATGGGTATTAAACAACCACGAATAGATGACCATCTAATATCAAACAAATATTTGAATTTGAGTTCTGGTAGATCGAGAAAATTTTGCCAATGTTTCAACATTGATAGACGACATGCACTATGAAAAAAATTATAAATTTGTCCTAAGTTTGATTCAAATTGAGCCACATCTTCTCGAGTTCGAACACGATTTGTACCATCACCTAAAATTAAAGAAACGTTTAGATTCGAATGTGGTTACTCTCGAAACATCTAACCAACAAGTTCTTTTCCAGCATGACTACCAACTAGTGCAAATGAATGAGCAGCACAAGTATTTAATCAAGATAATCAATTCCATATTTTTTTTTCAATTTAGCTGCAACACCATTGTGAATTCCTGGTAATAAAAAAAATACAATCGACAATGAATAACTATTTTCCCAAACCGGTAAAAGTTGAAGCATTGTCTGTAGCTAACCAACACGTTTTTTTCATATTAATTCCATCTTCATCCCATAATTCACCTAGTTTATCAACAATATGTTGAGCCGTTCCATCTCCATTCATATTTATTAAACCATAAAAATCAGTTTTTTGTTCGTAATTGTCCACATAACGAGCATAAACGATGCAGCTTTTTTCACAAGTACGAGACGTGGATTCATCTATTAACCAACCTAAAAAGAAAACAAGTAGAAAAAGTCAAGAGAAAACAAAATATTCACCTAGTATTGGACTTTGATTCAATTTTTCAACTAATTCTTGATGTAAAATTCGAGCAGTATATTGAAGAAAACACAAAGCAGCACAATCATTTCTGTAATTAATACCAGATACTTCTGCAGGAAGTAGATTTACTCCATTCTTTTCTTGAAGATTACATAGTGGTTCAAAACTATTAAGTGGATGATATTGTTGACAAATAAAAATAGCAGTAAACATTAGGTTTTGAATAGATTGTTGATGTTTTGTGTAGATCATCGATTGAGTTGTTTTCCAATCAGGCTGAATTTTAGATTTACTATTTAATTCAAGTTCTTGAGCTTCAATATGTTTTTCATTATATAATCCATGTTCTTTAATTTTATTTAATGCTAACACTGAATAATCATACGTTGCCCATGGATTTATTTTTCCATTCGCATTCTTTATCATTTGGTATTTGTTACAAAGAAAACAACCAATTGTAATTTTTCCATTTTCATCTTGTTTTTTTCGAAGCCAACATTGACGGCTTTCCTGTAATTCACCTGATGAATTCAAAATCATAGTTCGATAATATGTTTCAGGTTCTTTTTCCCATCGAGATAAATATCCCATTGTACGATGATTATTTATTTGCTTCGAAGATGATGGTTCCGATGATGCAACATGTATAATTTGATTCGTTTTTTTAATACAATTGTCATTGACAAGAATTGACGAAGATATAAATGGAGATGTTGACGTGGATTCGTTTTCAAGATCAATGATTATTGGTTCTTGTTGTTGCTGAATCTGATCAGTAGAAATCAAAACAGTTGATTTCATTTCATCATTATCAATTGAGTTCATCAAGATTATTCAGTTAATGTCGTTACTATTATCACTTAGATTATTTTTGTTATTTTATATTTATCTTGAACTGAAACAAAAAGTCAAATGAGTAGTAAAAGAATAGAAAGGCTTTTGTCGATTTTTTTTTGCAAGTTAAAAAGGAAACATTGTAAGAATTCTTTCTTTTTTTATTTCTCTTTTCTTTGTTGTTTATTTATTTTTCTCGATTTTCTTCTGTATGATTCAGCAAGCTTCCCATTTGTTACGAAAAGGATCAAATATGAAAAAGTTGTTTAAAATTCGAAAGCGCTACTGTCAATGCGTTGAAAGCACACATGGACATTTGTTATGCAAAGAAAAGAATATCTTTGTGTAGGACATAGTGTATTTGTAAAATTCATAGTGTACTGTGCGCACTTTCTTTTCTTATTCAGAGTATAAACAGAGTGCGCTTGAAAAAAACAAAGATTTCATGCATTTTGCTCTATATAGCGCACTTTGTCATTAGAAACACTGCTTTTCGCTTATGAATTCATTCGGCGAAATTCGTTATCAGTAAAAAAAAATCTCTTTTAGCAAAGTTGCAATCGGCGAGAAACGCCAATGAATATGACAAAAAATTGTTTTGACGTCTATCTGTAACGTTGGTCGACTTTTCGATAAACATAGGTAACAAAATGACAGTGGCGTAGCCAGCCTTGGGTCATTGTGCAATTGCCCTATAGTTGAAAAGTTATTGCCCAATGATTTTTGGAAACTATAGCAATTGTCCAATGCTTAAAAATCTTGATATAGTGCGTTTGAAGACTTAATTGACGTTATTTTAATAAATCGCTCCTATAGTGATTTAATCAAGCAATGGAGAAAGATACGTTGACCATCTTTTCTGATTAAGCAATGGTCATAATTCATGATAATTGCAATTTAATAGTATTTTTTTGTCAAAACACTTGCCAACTTGCTTAAAGTTCCCTGATAAAAGACAAATACATATTTATCCGCTTTTCTGAGCATATAGAATCGTATCAAATGGAAACGACTGTAGTAATTTAGCTAAAAACTTTAATGATACAGAGCTTACTGGAAATTACAGCCTCATAGAAAACATCTGTAAGCTTGAAAAAGATTCACTAATGATAAAATAGAGGCATTCGTCAAAATTTGATTCTTTTTTAAGAACATTCGAATGATCATCATCTAAAGCCATCAAATCCAAATTTTTTGGCTGATTTGGATGTTTTATAGTAAGGTTGGTTTCAATTGACGTTTTAGCACTGCCCACTAGTGGCGGAGTCAAGAGATGGCTGGATAGGGGTTCAAGCTTCCACCAGGAGAAAATTATTGAGGTTAGTTGTTCTTCTCACTAGCTTGACAAATCAAATAGAATGTGAATAAGAATGATTATTCGTAACTATTTGCTAGAATGTAGACTAGATTGATGTTTCTGAAGAAATAGTGCATCCCATTTCTTCAAAACATTCCGTTCTTTAATATCCACTCACGTTTTGATCGAATAATGGTTATAGAGACAATATATCATTCATTATGTCAACATTTCTGGCGTCTTTATGAACAATAGAATTTATACTTTCGGAGAAAAGTCTTTTCTCTCTTTCTTCCTATTTTGTCACACTTTGCATGAAATTTATTACCGAGTAAAGATATAAAATGAGATATTTATTGCAATATGGTATACAAATCATACTGAAATAAAATTCTCATGTTAGATATCTACTCGGTAATAAAATCGATGCAACGTATGATAGCATAGAAATAAAGAGAAGAGTAAGAGTTTTGTCCAGTGATGTAGCTGCTTTAACCAAAACATGCGAGCAAAACTTCACTAAAATGAAGCTCATCAATAAAATCACAAGAGACTAACGAGGGAACTACTCCAACTGATTCTGAGCTTTCGATTTCATCTTTTGGCTACAGGTAGGCTTCAGTGATACTAAGAAAATCCTAGAAGCATTCATGCCCATGGCTCTTCCTTCCCGAGATATGGTCAAAACTATGTCAGAAAAAAAGGGATTTTTCTCATTATTGAAAAGTTTCTTTTTTCATCGAAACAGTTTTAGATTTTTCTTTATACAGCTAGCTCTTGTAATAACTTGTTTTCTGCAATTTACTGTAGAAAACAAGCTATTACAAGAGCTAGCTGTATAAAGAAAAATCTAAAACTATTTTGATAAAAAAAAAAAGAAACTTTTCAGTAATGAGAAAAATCCCTTTTGTTATGACATAGTTTTGACCATATCTCGGGAAGGAAGAGCCATGGGCACGAATACTTCTAGGATTTTCTTAGTCTCACTGAAGCCTACCTGTAGCCAAAAGATGAAATCGAAAGCTCGGAATCAGTTGGAGTAGCTCCCTCGTCAGTAGGAATTCACCATTCAAAAAAACGTGAGTGCGTCGAATCATGTCTTGCAGATTTTCTGATATGTTTTTCAGAGAGTTCTGGTTTGAACATTATAGAAATTCATCTAGAGCATGAAGTCATCACAATGGATTTTCAGTTTGAAGACGTCTATTAGAACTATCGATTAAACATCTGTAAAACAGGGCCAGTCGAGCACTATTAGAACCCGTTCATAATGCATCATAGCATTTACTTGCGAGAAGTTAAGCAATTTTTTTATAAAATTAGCAGAAAAGTTTGTTTTTCGTTGTATTGCGGTGAAAGTTTACTCTATAGATCCATCTAAAAACGTATATTTTTTGAATAAATCGGAAAAAATTCAAAAAATGTGTCAGAAATTCAATAAAATAGAACTTATTGCGTTGTTACCTCCACCATCCAATGGTGAACACCGCATAGCTCTACCATGCTCCCATCAAAAGATTTTTATGTCTCTTTATTTGACATGAATATTACACAGTAAGTTTCAACTGCAGTAACGATTGGAGCTACGAATCTTCATAAATTTTCTTAGCTTCAGCTGTAGTAAACTCGCTTCTTAGTTTGAGAACTACGAATCTCTCTTCAATAAATATTCGTTTTTGTGATGGCAATAATTTTTAAAAAATTGTGGCCCAATTGTTTTTTAATTGCCCATTGTTGCCCAATGGTGGAAAAGTCCTGGCTATGCCACTGGCCCTATAAGATCGAAATTTAATTCAAATTGATTAAATTGCTGAATATTGAGAAGCATCCTACTGTTAGTGTCGATGCGCAAAAACTCCCGGTAGATCGCAATCTGCAGGCCGTGATCTGATCAAATTATGATAAATTGCCTTTATACCAGTTCACAAGTGCTCATCTATTCTTTCCCATTGATCTCCAAAATTTTCAAACATGAATTCTTTATTAAAGATAAAAGGTGTTTGTAGAAAATAAAGCTATGGGAATAGATGCAGGCACTAGAATATTTCAGATATTGATCTAATATTGTGAATACACATCCAATATGTATGTGAACCTGTTTTCTTTTGAAGAGTTGTAAGATTCACCAAGTATGATGGAAGCACAGAAAAAATTTATAAGTGCATAAATTTATCATTTTTCAAACTTGACAAGAAGTGCCCATGAGAACGAGACTTGATATCTTGTTTTCAATCACTCATTCGAATCTACAAAGTTGTCAAAAACTTCCTCATAGCTTTTGACTAGATAGACAAATATCAGTTGATTATTCTATAGAAGCCAAACTCTATCTTAACATAGTTTTTGAATATTTAAAAGAACGAACAACTCCGTTCGGATTGAAATGTATTCTATGTTAAAATTTTTATTTTGCTTTTCATGGCATACTTATAACGAGATTTTTTTATTATTTTATTGTAGAGCAAAAGTATCCACATCCGCGTTAGTAACTTATCAGAAATATGAAGCCAATATGCTGCGTATTCAAATTTTTCATGTCTATTACAACATTTTCATGTTTTATATACCTTCATTTGTCTGCAGTAAGAAATACATTTCTGAAAATTTAAGACAGAAATAGAGAAGTACCGATCAAAGCTTTTGGGTATCATTGGAGTTCATTTGAGTAGCCTTCAACGCATTGTAACTAACATAATGCGATGTAGTAACTATATAATGCACCGATACTCACAAGGAAGTTGTTTTAGCTCTACAGCAGCATAATCAATTTCAATCGAATTCAGATCACGTATAGTCAATGTATGGAATTGCAAAAGCGAGAATTTTTGATTCATAATGTCTTTACCTACGTAGGTTATGAAGTCCCTAGTGAAACAGAATCGCCCATATCATTACTCTGCTGTTCCCATTTGAATAACGATACGGTTTTGTAAACATCATATATGATTATAGGATTGGACATGCAGTGAAAGAGCAGAATGAAGAAAAAGACAACGTTCATGAGACTCGAACCGACATCTTCTGCTATCCGAGCAAATAAATTAAGCCAATAAAATCAGAAAGCATATCTTAATATGAGTTTAGCATCGCACTTTATCATCGCTGACGCTAACAGGATTTTGATATGGATCTATATTTAATGAATCGAGTCTGTATGAGTAAGAGTTAAGAAAAGAGCTATATCAACTCCTCCTCTCCTGTTCAAGAAAGAGAATGAGAGAAATAAAAAACTGAAAGTGAATGATATATTTATTTACCTTAAATGGTTCGAGAGAGAAAACCTATAGAACTGTAGTAAATATATTGACTACTGAGTTAGTTTTTTCATGAAATGAAAGTAACAAAAATCGCTTTCGTTGAGCCAGGAATCTCGACACTCATCTTGTTACAGATATGTTTTCATTTTCGAGCGTTAACACAGGACTTTTCGTCATCTTCAGTCACTTGGCTTCAACTTTCAGACATCTTGAAACTTGAGGACGCTATACTAATCTCTTGATCAGAATATAGATGATGCTATAAGAATATTTAGTTGGACAAAACGAGTGATGAGAATGTTGATGATATCATGGAATATAAAGAATTTTTTTAATATGCTCAGAATATATAGTTTTCGTAGAGAATACAAAAAATATGGGAATCTACATTTCCAACTTTTAAAGAATAATTGTTTGTTTATTCCGCTTCTTAACGT